ACAACGCCACAAGACAGAAATACACATACAATTTTCTAATGATTTGAACGAAACGTTACGCTCCCACATTTATATGGCGTGGAATTCTCTGCCTGCAGATTTATTCCCTGAATACTATAACTTGGGCCTTTGAATGGCGAAAGTGAATAGACATTATCGTCACTTTTCCATCAGGTGAGATGGAGGTAGAATGCGCACTTATTAAAAAAAAGAAATAATAAATAAAATAAAAAATAACGCTAGAAATATTCAAAATGAAACAAACAATATAATTTGACTAATGTCATGTTTGTGGCAGTAGTGTACATAAAAGCGATTAGACTGGTTTCAGCCGTTGTTTAAGCCGAATGAGTAAATAACATTTCTAACAAAACCAAAACTCACAAATATCAAATAAAGATCACTTCGCCAATTAATCGATTAGCTGCAAAATATCGAATGCGTAATAACAACCGGGAGTTTATCGCTTTGTGGTTGATAAATTGAATAATAATTTATACCCGCGATAAGGCGTGGAACGCACCTATCGATTTGTACGATCGCTGATTTCACATTGACTTATGTTCGAAACCCGCAGGCGAGATTTTGCATTTTTCATTTGAGCCTTTCGCGAAGAAAAGTCTTTTGTCAATGCAAACTGTCATAAAACAAAAAAGATATATAATTTGAAAACCGTATTTACACACATACACTTCACGCCTTTTTCCCATCGGGGTAAGCAGAGAGCACAGCCGAAAAATTGATATTTTGTGCTATATCATTTAAAAATTCAACTATGAGACGGATATGACGTGCTTTATGACAATATAAATTAAGTTGAATTTGCGTGAAAAAGTCACAGATAATCGATGATTTAAAAAAATCAAAACTTTTTTTATAACAATATTAATTTTAACAACGAAGTGATATCAAAATCTTCATACGTATGTATGTATACAAAATAACCACATTACCATTCTCAAATGTAGTGATAAAGTTAAAAAAATTAGTATTAGCTAAAATAAAAGAGATTATATATATATATATACCATTGCTTAATCTCAAAGCTACGCAACGTCTTGGGATCTAGACAGGATTGTTAACAAGCCATTTGTTTATTCTATAAAGCTTGTAATCGTATTGATTTCGTATGATGGCCAATCTGTTAATTATATACAGCAAAGGATTTTGAATCACAATATTATTACGTAGTATTTTGAATAATTGTGAATACTACTACATCGCCTAATACAATTTGAATTCATTACATCCTTTTTTACTGCTTAACCAACTTGATCAAGTCCTACGTCCGTACTTCCCTTTCGAATTATTGTTAATGTATTTTTAAACAACAATCAATACGGCATTACAATCTGCAGACACCTCCCGCGAATTATCAATTCCTCCTCTTTCAATTTCACACACAATAAACTGCTGCGTAAGCCACGCCCCTTGATGGCAGCCTCCGATTAAGCTATTTGTACCTTGCTACTGTATAGTTACAACACACTTAAGATTCTAATTCGTCGTGTGTTTTTTCTTTAAGCTAACTGTTTTACAATGTTACCCAATTGTGTTACGAATATTGTACTAAAAACTTCGGGATTCCTCAAGGAGCAATGCTTGTGCCCTGCTTTTACAATGTTTACAATTCCATGATAATTGATTATTAAATATATTGACGTGTTATTGAAACTGAAATACACGCGAACATCGTCTCCATAGGTCCGCATTATATTCATCTATAGCACTTGATTGTCAGAATCACAGAGCTAAACGTAGAACGAACAAAATTGATGTCCTACGCTTGTACCCTGAGGTAAATTAAATTTATTCAGAATACCTAGATAGTGGCAATGCGTGTGGCACTTCATACATCCTGCTAATGTTCTTATAATTGTAGGATACTGGCTAATTTGCATAGCAGGTGATGAAGGAAATTAATACCAATTATCTTCGAAAGTGGCAATGCTAAGGAGCATAATGTCAAAAGTACTTGAATAAATAAGATTTACAGAATAGAAAAAATAATGAAATCACTAACTTTCACTTATGAAACAATCACAAGACTGTTGTCTCTGTTACTAAACAAAATTAATACTATCATATAAATAACAAGTGAACAACAATAACTATTGATTTGACTAACAGTGAGGCGGTCGAATATCAACATGATCTATCTAGCGACAATGATGGCGCCATTTACAACCAAGATCAATTAATGCCAGAAAGAGATAGTATTACTGCAGCTAATGGTATAGAAAGAGACGAGGAAATAGTTATCAATCACGCGCCCGCGCACGATTTAACGCTCGAGGCGATCGAGAGATCTCCAGTTTAATTATTTCTATTATGATATTTAAAATATAATGATTATCTGTATTAATACCCATATGGCGAATTCCCACAGTCGTTTTGTGTGGAACAGTTCTATAACCTTAATTAAAGCTGCAAAGAAATGTAATAATAAATGAGGATCGTGTATGAAAGTTTATGTAAATATTTCATCGTTAATTACAATATTCCGTGTAAGCGAATTCGTTTTGCATTCCCGAATATCAAAGACGTTTCTATTCGTCGGAGTGGTTTTAGAATAATATGCTAGACAATCATACCAATTACCTGGTCTCATACTAGGTAATGCCTTTTGCTATAAGTATTGAAGTAGCGGGATACTATCCAAAAACCCAGATCGGACACATTTTGAAAAGTAAATTTCGTCGGGGATAGTGCAATAACGCGAATTCGATAATAAGTTTCCATTTCAGTAAATTAGTGGCCAAATCAAATACGCGTAACTGTCGTGCCAACCAAATTAGCGCGATTTACGGGAATCTATTGTTATCAGTTCGTAAACAATATAAATTAATGCTTACTGTGCAAAATTGAAAGTCATAGCCATTGAAATAACAAAGTAATGACGTTCAATCATTCTTTTGTAAAATTTGGTTTAGTGCAGATACGCGCCTTTTGCCAATGTTACATATGCGGATTTGCACTATCCCTGATGATTTCGTAAATTGGTGCCACAGAGGCAAATCACTAAAAATTTCAATTTATAATAAACGAAAGAATATACACGTTGTTTCAATATTTGTGAATATCTCTTCGCAATTTGGATATAAAACTATGATTTTTTTTCGGATCCAAATCCCGCGTATTTGTTTTATCAAACAAACCAACGCTGACTGAGATGGTAAAGTCATCAACCAGTCTAATATAAATGCAAACCATCCTATTTTTCATTGTGGTTACAGAAGTTACCAATTTACACTATAGATTTTATTTTGCTAAATATTTACGTTTTGCAAAATGTTTTATCTTAACAATGAATTGTTAGTAAATTAAAATAATTCAAAAAAACCGATACAAAAGAACCCAATACAAAAGATTTGTAACGAACACGTAAATAAGTTCGTAAGATCTGCTGACTCGACCTGTCGCTCAGTTGACAGAAGAACGCCCTGTTTGGGCGTGGTCTCTGGTTCGAGTTCTGTCAGATCGAAGGAATATTTCTTTATGCAATAATTTTAACAAACAACTAGAGTTATTTCATTAAAATATATGAATACTACATTGATTAATCATTTTGATATACAATAAAATCAATATTAATTAATTAAGGAAAACGAAATTAGAAACAAATTAAAAGATAAATAAATATTAAACAAAAAAAAAAGATCGTACGCAGTATAGCGAAAAACTAAGAACTCAATATCTCTTCGCAATTTTCAAGAATAAAATCTCAATTCGTCTATCCATTGTCTACATTTCTTTAATAGCTTGTACGGGTACCAACTGCCACTCCAGAATCGTCAATCATTCACGATCTTATCACTTGACCACCGATCTCCACAATATAAAACCGTTTATACGAACTATGACTGATATTAACCCATATCCGATTTGTATCTACAACTAATTCTTGTTGACCCCCAATTGAAATCAATGTTTATCATGTTTAAGGCCATATTTTAATGGCTGGATTAGTTCATCTGTATCTGAACGCTTAGTTCTGTAGACATCTCAGTTGAGATAAACGTGTATGGAATGAAGGACCTTCTTATTATGGTCGTGTAGTATCATCTTGATCGTCGGATGATCGTGAATGGAGCATTTAGCTGTATGATAAATAACAAGAAATATAAATCTCTACAGAGAATTAATCAAAGTTTAATAGAAGATTTGTAATGTGGGAACCCATCCTTATACTTTTGCGAAGGAAGCACGTGATAGTCGTTACAATATGGATATAAGAAAGCTAAAGCTAAAAATTATCATTTGACTCAATACATTATATAAAAGTAACTCAAAAGTTACCTCTATATAATTTTTCTGTAGTTACGTTATCGCACAGATGAATTTCTTTCAATACTACAAGATTTCGAGCGTGCGCACTACGTCTGATTCTTATCATTTCCGAATCCGAGAAATGACGGTCCGAATTGTCACAGGGATCATTTTATACATGCTAGGTATACATTCGATATTCGTACTTTCTCGTATTCGAATCGGATTTAGTGCACAAGCGACATCTGAAGTGGTTCAGAGTTCTCTAGATTTGTACAGTCTCGGATTCGGAACTTAGGCGCGGTATTTCAACGTTAGCCAACATTTTAGGAGACGAGGTGTGAGGGACCGCCCCTCGCGTCCCGCAATTCTTCATCATCATCAAACCATTTATACGTCCCACTGTTGGGCACGGGCCCTTTCTCAGGCAAGGTTTTAGGCCATAGTTTGCCACACTGGGACTGCCCAATGCGGACTTAACACGTTTTCCCAGGATTGTGAACTCCTTCCGTTTCCTTCAATAACAAATTAGCGCATTCTTTAGACAATATCCTTAGATGTGTCGTATATTTTTTGTAAGATCGTTATTTAATAGTGAATACCTAAGCTATTTGATCTAGCAAAACACTTTATCCCGCTTCTCTTCCGGTGACCCGCATCAAAAGACAACTGTTTTAATAAATAATTCATTTTACAAAGATATCAAATAACTGTATTGAAAAGTAACTTACCTCTTTTTTGCATGAAGGAAAAGAGGTCGTCGAGAAATTCCTTCCTCTGAGGGTCGTCGCTGATTTCGTACAACTGAAACAAGATAAATTAAATATGAGTTCTTTGAACTAAGTATAGACGTAAAAACAATCGAACTGAATACGTACAATATAATTACATCATTGAACGTTAAATTATTAGGAAAAATGTTATAGAAGTCAGCCCCCGTAGCATGGCTACGCATGGTAGTCGCGACGTGCGCGATGAAATTGGAATAAGCGCGCGCTATTGGCTGTCTCAATCAGATCCAATTTAGATAGCCAATACCGTGCGCATATTTCAATATTATCGCGCTCGTCGCGACACCATGCGTTGCCATGCTACGGGGGCTGGTAAGGTAAAGTAGGTAAGGTAGAGTCTTGTAGCGATAGAGATTCGTCCCGGGAAGTACTGCCTCATCTATTTCTACCGCCAGGCGTTAATGTGAGCAAGGGTAGGGATAGGGTGCTGGTGAAATTTAGTTTTTTTTAACGCTCTTCGCATTATGGAAATCTTTTATCGCGGGTGCCATAGATACATACATACATAGACAACCACAAATTACACCCCAACTCACGAGAGAAATAATTGTAGACCATACAAATATTTCTCTCGACCCAGGAATCAAACCCGGAACCACCGTAACCGTTCGGCCACGGAGGCAGTTACAATTTAAATTACAGAGGCAGTTTAAATTACAGGCAAATGGAACTCTTCAACATATGTCTTAAGGTTGACGCACGTAGTGGCAGTGCCCCTCAGATCTTTGCGATTTAAAGCTCTGAGTCGCATTGCAACTGTTTTGGACAACGTTTCACTTACCACGAGGTGCACGAATTGTGCGTTCCACCACTTAGTATCATAAATATCCACCGTTACTACAAAATGCAAATTTCCTTCGTACAATTTATAAAGAGCATTGGTTCGGATAGGCATTTAATAACCTTGCAAGTATTTGCGGCGTATATAATACAACCACGTCCACAAATGAAAAGGGTTTTCTTGTAATTGTAATTCCAATTGTAACGTCGCATAGTTGCGCTTGAGCAACTGCATGAGAATTTTATAATGAGGTGTAATGCATTTCATATGTTTGTATCCCGACATGCGGGCGCACGTGCAACTTTTAACGCTTCCTACGAATGCTAATAACTTTATTATTACTATTACGTTAGATACATTCCTTATCAGTCATTGTTGCCTTGTGTTTGTTGATTATTCGTCCTCATGACTGACTATGTTTTATAACCTTTTTATGTCCAGTTTTTCTCGGATCTACAACACTGACATCTGCCCTCCTAACTAAGAGTGCAGTAACTAAGTCAAGCCTGTTTTCGAGAAAAACGTGATTAAAGAATGGTTAAAGCAAATAATTTAAAATTTACTCTAGCTTCAAAACTACGCAAGTTACAACGACATGGCATATATCAATAGAAAGGTAAAAGAATGAAGAATTGTATGGTGATATTTATACATGTATGTTAAGGTTATGCATGATAATATTTCAAAAGTATACTTATGATTAGTAACTGCTCTAGCAACACAAGTGATCCTCCTAACCATAACGGCAGTAATTACCTTAGATACTGCACTCATTATTAGATAAATATCGTACTGCTAATTAATCTCGAAACTACAAATTCAAAAACAAATGAATAATAATATAATATATAATAAATTACTGCAGTTTTTATGAAGTGACTGCTTTTGCTAAAAATACACTTCATATTGATGCTATTTTCTAATGTTTTATACAGTCGCAATTTGTTAGTATTTTCTTACTAAACATCGACGTTAAGCAGCAGCATGCTGCATTGCTTGAGAATTTGGAGAGTATCGGTGGCCTAATTCCCTCCCTTCACTTTTTTCTTTCCTCTTTTCTCGCTTCCTTCCCTTCTGTAATGTTAGCAACGACTGAGTAATGCCACTGGTATTACAAGCATACATAATGGGCTACGGTAAGAGTTTCGAGTCCCACCGTTTATTGTATACACGACTGCTTATTCAAGGAATAAATGATTCATATTTCTATTTCCCAAGTTGGACAAACTGTTAATTAAATTGAGAATATAAGGAGATAAGAAAATATAGTATTTTATATAGATATATTAATTTAGTACATTTATAAAATTAGAATAAAACAAAGAAAATTCCTGTATTTATTTCTTCAAATCCCAGATGTATTATTCCCAGATATATGAATCTTTAATCACATTTCGATTGACAATAAACCAATAGAAAAAAATCAAGCCTTGCCTTATATTGAAGTTAGTTAAGGTTCAGTCTCCTTATTACAATTACTTACTAACTATAATTTATTTTATTTTATATTTATTTAGAAACTATAATTTGAGATCACGTTTCTTTATTAAAAAACTATATTATTATTATTAATGCCATGACAACTGCTATAACATTCTCATTATTCATTCTCTCTTTTATTATATTACTTAATATCAACTTTATATGTCAAAAATAACACTTTTCACAAGTATTTATAAATATTATGCATTACACACAGGAAGCGGACGACGCACAGAGAAAGAAGTATTACACCTCAAAAGTTGCTCGAAATGATTTTGTGAATTTTATCGATTTGACATGTAATAAAAAGCAGTTTAAAGTCATTGTACTGTATTTAAAACACATAGTTTTCGTTGTATTGAAAATTAATTACAAAAAATATAGTATTAATGGAATTCCATTCATCATTCGTCGTCATACGAGTAAGACCTATCATCATCTTCATTATACCTAAGTTGATGTTGCGTCCGATGCTTCCGGCAGCAGAACTATGTCTAACTGGAAAAAAAATTACTTTTTTACTGTGGCATTTGCAATATACTGCTCAAAAAAGGATCAGAATTTAACAAAAGTCTTTGAAATGTATATGCGGGACTTTTTTATTTAAAAACATTATCAAGAATAACTAAGTTTTAAATTACACATAAAATCATAAGTTAACTAGGCTTAACTGATATACATAACCATGTGTGAATATAGAGATTACAAAAAGAACGTTATTTTTTATTGTGGAATGTTATATTGTATTTTATTTAGTTGTATTTCTTACCGTATGGTAAGAAATATCACTTTATCAAGTGCAATCCGGAAAATATACTTTTAAATTGAAGTACCTACCTTTCTCTTTAATATTCTTCAATAGGTATTACAAAACATTTATCACACATAAACACAGAACTGGGTTGAAAGATTATTTATACAGGAGCGCTGAAATTCCCGTTTAGTGGTAATGGTTATTAAGCTCGTTTTGTAGATGAATTTAACAAAATTATTTGAAATCGTCTTTCGGTCGATTTTTGCTTAGAAACACACCTCTGTGCGATGACTGATTGCCACTAGCTTAGAGACGTCTTCTCACCAATTATAACTGCAGTATCTATACGAGTTATTACAATTTTATTAGAATTGAAACTACAAAATCGCGATGAAGGTAGTCGTCGACAGCGCAAGGGGGTACACAGATATGTCTGCTCTTAAAGCTGTCATCTGCCGCCGTCCAGTCAACCCGTGACCATGGAGCGTGCAACCGTTCCGAAATATCGGGAAAATAAAAAGAAGTCATACCGTGGTAAGAAACCTGATACTAGTGATAATCATTTACAAAATCATATTGATTTCCTTATAATAACTGCAGTATCTAATAGATACTGCACTTATAATTAGCTCTAAGATGGTAGATTTTCTAAAACATAAATAAAATTAGTGCAGTAACTGTTAGATACTGCGTTTATTGCTAGAATTCCATCGCCATTGACTCAAATTTGATAAAAAATTATATAGTAACTAATCTTACTGCACTTCAAATTAGCACATGTTATACATTGTACTAAGTTACTGCAGTTTCACTTCCTGTATTACAGGGTTCCCATGGGAACTATGATACGTGAATTAGAGCCAAATATAGATCTTGTTTTGGTGTTAACCATTATTTATTTAACTCAATTTCGTCAAAAATGCTAGTTATTGCACTTTCAATTAGATTATTTTTATTTCAGCAGTATATGCAGAGTAAAGCCTGATTTTTTAGATTATAATTCAACTCTATGCCGCATACGGTAAAAACCACAGGAATATTAATTTTTAAAGTCGGTTAAAAAGAGATCAACAAGATGCCAAAAACTATTACATTGGATGTTCTTATTATTCTTTTTTTCAAATTTTTGTTTGACATTTGTCAAACGTTAGGAATAGCAAGACGTGGGTCAATGACATAATTTTTAATTTTCAACTAAAACCTATATAGGCTTAGGATATAATCTAATCTGTGACAAGTCAGTATCTTTAGATTATATAATATGTTTGTTTTAACTATTACCTAATAGTATGTAAGCATTAAATATTGTAAAGTACAAAACAATTCATAAGAGCTATTTAAAAAAATATCGAGAATCTTTTTTAGTATATATGAGAATGAGAAACTCCAACGTAGCCATGGAAGTGACCTAGGGAGTATAGTTAGAAATAAGCTTTTTCTCGCCAGGTGGTCCCCTTAGGGTGTGGGGCATATTATTTTGCATACACACATATTTTTTTCTACATAGACATAATGATAAACACATATGTATGTGAACAACCAATAAAAACATAAGTAACGACGGCAGCCCTATAATCTAATTCTATTTGTCTTTAACGTGTGTTTAAAATTATCAGTTTGAAGATGATTTTTTCAGTATTCTGAGCACAATGTTTAATGAAATGTGAAATAATGACGAAGTAAGTAATATGCAAAACAACGAAGCATAAATGGCTTTTAAAGGGATGTGTAATTATTGAAGAATCCTGTAAATGTTAGGTCGACTAAGTGCTTGAATAAGGACGTAGTAAAGGTGACGATAATTGAGTAAAGTTGTAAGATGCAAATGTGAAACCCTGCTGTGTTACAAGCTGTTGGAAAAAATTAAATGCATCCGCCTTTTATATGGAAAATAGTGTAGGTACAACGGGGCTTGTCCTATAGAGAAACGATAAGACAGCCACGCTTGATTGGTTAGTAATATACCTAAAGAGGAAACAGAGTGGGAATGTAAACA